CTTGTTTGGCGACACCCCATTTAACATCTTGTTCTTGCAGTCTGACCATGGTTGCAGATTTAAAGTTCTCAGTTGGTTCACGCAAACGTGTTAACTCTCTTAGAGCATTCAATTTATCAGCCTGGTCCTTGGCTTGTCCGACTTTCACAGTAGCCTTACCTGCATGTCTATCAGCTTGCTCATTTCCTTGTACCCCCAAATGTCCTGGCACGAAAACGAAACAAATCCGTGTCAGCCGTGAATTCTGTAGAGCCACCAACCAATGCCTTCAGACCCAGCCCTTCTCTATCTTCCTGAGCATACTCATCAAGTCACTGAGAAAGCATGCCCCAGTAAAAGTCTGTGTTTCTAGCCATGTTAATGCTTTGATGACCTCCATAGTCAGACTACTTGTAGTTACGGCAAAAGCTATAGAATTTTCCTTCACAACTCTTCCTCCAAACTGAGCCGTGAATGCCCACGAGCTTCTAACGTGATGTATTACAGAATTATCTGTGTAAATGACAGCATCACCCTCTAGAGCATTCTCGAAAATCAAGGCTTGAACTTTTGCTTCCACAGCAGCCAGACTCTGTTGACTGCATTTTCTGTCTAGTTGGATGCAAACAGCAAAAGATGTACAGCACTCTGAAGGCACTTGCACCTAGTCCTTCCTGGGTTCTATGTCCTCAAGTAAACATACCTGTATAATAATGTCCTCAGCTTGACCCATCCACGATTTGCCTCTTTTTAACCTGCTGCCTCTTTTCTTCTCGAAGAAGAAGTAATAGCAGCAGACAAGGGGGTGGGCGTTGAGTCATAGAATGTTCAGGTGTTCTGCGGTCAAATAAGTTGTTCTGTGTCCAGTTTGTCATGAATGACAAAGATATGCTGCAGATGTAGATGGCAGGAAAGTGTATTTAAATGTTTTTTTTTTCTTTTTTCTTTAGATGAAGGAGCTCTTCTATCAAAACTACGCAGAGCTGGATATGCCCAACAGCTCTTTCAAGAAAAATCTGGGGAAGGACGAGATCAGAGCGGTCACTCTACATCCGGTCAAAGAGGGGCCTTATGTGTTCAGAGTGGACAACTTCTTTAATAATCTTACACTTTATGTAGGTTTACAAGTTACAACGTATGTGTGTTTGTGTTTGATCACTCACTGTATATTAGAGGCGCCGGTTAGATAACTTTTTAAGAGAGGACCTGAACCACCTCCCACCCCGACCCATAGCAAATGTGAGAGTGGTTGAGCGTCCTCACGGAGCCGCTATCGTGGCTAGATGCTTGTCTGAGAACACGTTACATCTTAACAACTATACGTTGTATCCTTTACAACTGGCACTGTTGTTGTAGTGTCATACTCTACATTAGGAGTTTCATCAAGATATCTGCAGTATTTTATCTTCTACCCTAGAATATCAAGATATCTGCAGTATTTCTTCTCCTACCCTAGAATATCAATATATCTGCAGTATTTCTTGTACCCTAGAATATCAAGATATCTGCAGTATTTTATCTTTTACCCTAGAATATCAAGATATCTGCAGTATTTCTTGTACCCTAGAATATCAAGATATCTGCAGTATTTCTTGTACCCTAGAATATCAAGATATCTGCAGTATTTCTTGTACCCTAGAATATCAAGATATCTGCAGTATTTTATCTTTTACCCTAGAATATCAAGATATCTGCAGTATTTCTTCTCCTACCCTAAAATATCAATATATCTGCAGTATTTCTTGTACCCTAGAATATCAATATATCTGCAGTATTTCTTGTACCCTAGAATATCAAGATATCTGCAGTATTTTATCTTTTACCCTAGAATATCAAGATATCTGCAGTATTTCTTCTCCTACCCTAGAATATCAATATATCTGCAGTATTTCTTGTACCCTAGAATATCAATATATCTGCAGTATTTCTTGTACCCTAGAATATCAAGATATCTGCAGTATTTCTTTTACCCTAGAATATCAAGATATCTGCAGTATTTCTTTTAACTTAGAATATCAAGATATCTGCAGTATTTCATCTTCTACCCTAGAATATCAAGATATCTGCAGTATTTCTTTTACCCTAGAATATATCTGCAGTATTTCATCTTCTACCCTAGAATATCAAGTTATCTGCAGTATTTCTTTTACCCTAGAATATCAAGTTATCTGCAGTATTTCTTTTACCCTAGAATATATCTGCAGTATTTCATCTTCTACCCTAGAATATCAAGTTATCTGCAGTATTTCTTTTACCCTAGAATATCAAGATATCTGCAGTATTTCTTTTACCCTAGAATATCAATATATCTGCAGTATTTCTTGTACCCTAGAATATCAAGATATCTGCAGTATTTCTTTTACCCTAGAATATCAAGATATCTGCAGTATTTCTTTTAACTTAGAATATCAAGATATCTGCAGTATTTCATCTTCTACCCTAGAATATCAAGATATCTGCAGTATTTCTTTTACCCTAGAATTTATCTGCAGTATTTCATCTTCTACCCTAGAATATCAAGTTATCTGCAGTATTTCTTTTACCCTAGAATATCAAGTTATCTGCAGTATTTCATCTTCTACCCTAGAATATCAAGTTATCTGCAGTATTTCTTTTACCCTAGAATATCAAGTTATCTGCAGTATTTCATCTTTTACCCTAGAATGTCAAGATATCTGCAGTATTTTATCTTTTACCCTAGAATATCAAGTTATCTGCAGTATTTCTTTTACCCTAGAATATCAAGTTATCTGCAGTATTTCATCTTTTAGCCTAGAATATCAAGATATCTGCAGTATTTCATCTTCTACCCTAGAATATCAAGATATCTGCAGTATTTCATCTTTTACCCTAGAATATCAAGATATCTGCAGTATTTCTTTTACCCTAGAATATCAAGTTATCTGCAGTATTTCATCTTTTACCCTCGAATATCAAGATATCTGCAGTATTTCTTCTTCTACCCTAGAATATCAAGATATCTGCACTATTTCTTTTACCCTAGAATGTTAAGATATCTGCAGTATTTCATCTTCTACCCTAGAATATCAAGATATCTGCAGTATTTCTTTTACCCTAGAATATATCTGCAGTATTTCATCTTTTACCCTAGAATATCAAGATATCTGCAGTATTTCTTTTACCCTAGAATATCAAGATATCTGCAGTATTTCATCTTCTACCCTAGAATATCAAAATGTGTAGTAGTCATGCAAATGTTTTATTTTCCTGCTTAGAAAATCAAAGATAGAAAATCAAAGATACGCTAGAGACGGGGTATTGTTTCCTTCCCTACCCTAGAATACCAAGCTGCCTGATAATCTAATGAGTATTTCCTCTTCTGTATTAGAATAACAAAGTACTTGAGATTACAATGCTGTGTTTTTCTCTTCTACCCTATAAGTTATTCCACAGTTCAGTATTTTAGCTTCCATCCTAGAATGCAACAGGATTCTGAATGTCCGAAAATCTGTGTTGTGTTATTTTTCTGTCCTAGAATATCAAGATACATGACAGTCTTGTTAATGTCTCTTCTATCCTAGAATATCAAGATACATGACAGTCTTGTTAATGTCTCTTCTTCTATCCTAGAATATCAAGATACATGACAGTTGTTAGTGTCTCATTTTCTATCCGAGAATATCAAGATACATGACAGTCTTGTTAATGTCCCTTCCATCCTAAAATATCAATATACATGACAGTATTTTTAATATCTCTTCTTCTTTCCTAGAATATCAAGATACATGACAGTCTTGTTAATGTTTCTTCTATCCTAGAATATCAAGAAACATGACAGTCTTGTTAATGTCTCTTCTATTCTAGAATATCAAGATACATGACAGTCTTTTAAATGTCTCATTTTATATCCTATAATATCAAGACACATGACAGTCTTTTTAATGTCTCTTCTATCCTAGAATATCAAGATACATGACAGTCTTGTTAATGTCTCTTCTATCCTAGAATATCAAGATACATGACAGTCTTGTTAATGTCTCTTCCTCTATCTTAGAATATCAAGATACGGTCCTGTTCCAGAGAAAGATTGTACTAAGATGTGGTAGCTGGTCCTCAGAACCGCAAACGATATGTCCAGGCTTGCCACAGGGATCACCGCTATCACCAGTCTTATTCAACGTTTATACGGTGATGATCACTGAGCAGCAGTTGAATGGAAAGGGGAGGACTTTGTCATTTGCTGATGACATTTTGATTTATCGACGAGGGCGTGATAGACAGGAGATCGCCAGCACTATGCACAAAGAACTCGATCGAATTGCCGCCTGGTGTGATGATTCCAATGCCTATGTCAATCCTTCGAAGGCATCAGTGTCATGGTTCTCTTTGAACAATCACATTGTCAAGTCGGACTTACCAGAAGTGAAAATGCGTGATAATGTATTGATCAGAACCAACGTTATGACGTTTCTCGGGGTGAGGTTCGATCGCAGCTTGTCATTCAGGGAACACGTTGACCATGTGATAACAAAAGCACGCAAAGGTCTATCTGCAATGAGGATTATGGCTGCTTCCAACATTGAGCAAAGACTACTAATACTTCTATTCTACGGTCTGGTCCTTTCCCCCATTGAATACGCTCTGGCCATCCTCACTGTCAGTGCTACCCAGATTGAACGACTTGAAAAGGTGCAAAATGAAGCCATGCGCATTATTTTGGGATGTACTAGAGACACATCCTGTGGAGCAATGAGGCATCTACTTGACTTTCCAACAATGAACCAAAGGATCAGGATGTGGAGGGCTCGGGCATTTCTCAAAATATGTGCTGATAAGAAACACCCACTGCATCAAGCGCTTTTTAGTGAAAAGGGCCACAGACTGAAGAGGGGGAAATCGTGGCTAGGTCGGGCAGAAGATGTTATTAGGCAAATATGCAGCCTAACCGACATCATACCTGGTGCAGAATGGATACCTGTGCCTCAGGCGTTTATTTGTACATTTTCCTGTATTGTCACACTCAACAGGCGATGTAGAGAAGAGAATCCTGTTGCTGTTAATGCAGAGGTCAACGCTCTCATCGGTGAAAATTCAGACGAAGCAGATGCAATAATCTATACAGACGGATCCGTTTTACGCCAAAGAAGAAGCGCATGGGCATTTACAGCACGCTCAGCGGGCAGAACAGTCAAAGAAGCCAACGGCGCCTTCTCCATGACAACCAGCAGCATGACGATGGAGGTGATGGCAGTGACACAAGCGCTTGCCTGGCTTGAAACACAAAAATTCACCCATGTGTGTATACTCAGTGATTCAATGAGTATGATCCGGAGGGTACAGGCAGGTTCAGTGTGAAGACAATGGCTTGAATCATTACAGAAGTCCACTGTCCGTGGAGTCACCTTTATTTTTGTTCCGGGACACGCAAGCGTCGATGGAAATGAAAGAGCTGACAGGTTGGCTGGATCCGCTATCACTACCGACGGTCAGCCTATGGATCATGCTGATATTATCAATGCCCTCAGAGAAATGGGAAGGATAGACGACTTTGGTGGCAGTGAATCCACATCACTCGCCAGAATGGCAGACTTGGGAATTAAGATCGGCACAGCAAAAAACGAGACGCACACCAGCTACGCCAAAAGACTTGTTAATCAACATAGAACTGGTACTATTAGCCATCGGACGTTGGGGTTCATGCTGAGGGGAGGATCTGAGCACCTATGGACATGTCCGGAGTGCAATGAGGATAACCCAACTAACTAACTAACTAACTAACTAACTAATCAAGATACATGACAGTCTTGTTAATGTCTCTTCTATCCTAGAATAGCAAGATACATGACAGTCTTGTTAATGTCTCTTCTTCTATCCTAGAATATCAAGATACATGACAGTCTTGTTATTGTCTCATTTTCTATCCTAGAATATCGAGATACATGACAGTCTTTTTAATGTCTCATTTTCTATCCGAGAATATCAAGATACATGACCGTCTTGTTAATGTCTCTTCTTCTATCCTAGAATATCAAGATACATGACAGTCTTGTTAATGTCTCTTCTATACTAGAATATCAAGATACATGACAGTCTTGTTAGTGTATCTTCTTCTATCCTAGAATATCAAGATACATGACAGTCTTGTTAATGTCTC